ATGGATTACATACGTGGGAATATCCTATGCAGTTGCAGCAGCCACAGAGTGTGAAAATCAACAAAGAAGCGAAAAAGAGGCGAAAATGACGCGAAAAGAAGCAGGATATTCAGGAGATCAAGGGTTCAACTCCCACATCCTGCAAAGATTAAAAATAGGGCAAAGTCCGTAGAAAATGCGGAATAATGGGGAGAAAATTAGGGGAAGGAGCGTACTGGTATATAGACCGTTCTAGACCATGATGGAGACACCACAGTTCGCCCAAGGACTTGGGCAGGGCACAGAGACTCGAAATACATCACATAAATGCGGATTATATTCCGAGCTCAACAGAACCCTCAGTTTGACTGGTTCAATCTACAGTGTTCACCCACTCTAGCAAGGACTCACTGACTCCCTGACTCCCTGACTCCTGAGGACCCTTTGGACATGCTTGAAGGTCTTCCTCACAATGAACTTGACCTTGCCTCAGATGTGCTTGAGGGCAAGTGACCATGACCATCCCCATACTTTATCCTGTCCCCTTGCCCTATAGCCTAGACCATTAGGTTAGGGTTTGCATTAGCGCAGGGTGTCACACTCCATGTAACACTGCCCTCATTGGGACTCACACACCACAAGGCCCACACATGCTCAGTTTGGTGAACAGCTGGTCCCAGCACTTCAAGACAGGCAGACCAACAGAGAAGGTACTGAGAGGAGGAAGTATTTGGACTCTTTTGTATCATTGTTGCCCCCAGATTTGCTCTCTGCTTTGATACACCCCTATGCTGCCCTACACTGATGCCACCCCATTACTACATAAACCTCAAGTCTTTACCCAATGACCTTGCCTGTCAGGACATGTGCTCCAAATTCTGGAGTTCTGACAGAATTCTGAAAAAGCAGAGTTGAGGTGAGGTGAAAACTCGGAGTCCATACCAGGAGAAAAACCTGAAGTTCCTGCAGGTCAAAACTCCAGAGTTAAGGAGATCAAAACCTCGGAGCTGGAGAAAACCTTAGAGTTCAGGACACAGAGTGAGGACTTGGCGAAGCTATTGGCAATGCCCCTGGGTCACATTGGAGGTCCTCAATTCTGGACTTGACAAAGGGTGGACTGGAGTTGCAAAGTCCAGAGAGTTGGAGGAAGAAGGAAGAGAAGTAGAGGATGATATAGAAGGAGAGAAAATCCAGAGTTGGAGAATCAGTCAGGAGTTTGGAGTTGGACTGAATAGATTAGGACAGAACAAGAGTATAGATGACAAGTATGGACGTGTAGACAAGATGGGACAAGATGAGATGAGATATTTAAGCTAGTGTACAGTACACTGAAGTCCGGTATAAGTACTACATCACTCATTGTTAGAAAGGAGACAATAAGTTTTGTAACATAGGATACAGGAAACAATACCTGAGACTGGAATTCTGGAGGTCCAGAGTTCCAAGACAAAAGTAATTGTTAGTTCAGAAACAATACTAATTGTACTGTAGTGTGTAGGCCTGGAAACACAATTGTGTCATGATACAAAAGAGAAGACAATACCATAACAAGGAGGTCTGGAGTTTGGAGAACATGGGGTAGAGATTGAGCTCCTGGAGTTGTACAAGTCGAGAGTTCAGACTTGATGGCACGAATGTGACATTACCCCTGCCTGCCCATTGTACTGTACTCTGTATATTGGGACCGTGTCTTTGGTCTCAGCACCATTTGTGATTGCTTGTTGTGGTATACAAATGCAGAGTTCATCATCATCATATCTAATCATCATCAACAAATGATCCCACTGAGTTGCAATGTAAATGAATCCTCAGGCAGCAATCAGAGGTTTTCAAGACAGGTCATATGAGAGGTTCCAGGTGGCGCTCACCCAAACAGCCTGGCCACTGGTAAGTGGATTAGATCCCACCACTGCCACTGGGTGAAATTGCAGTCCTGAGAATCTCTAATAGAAATGCCCATTTCAAAGTATTGTAATGATTCTTTTCCAACCACCACCTATGTAAACCTGCAACAGACTTGTGTGATTGAATAGCCTTGGGATACTTTCTAATTCATCTGAGAAATTTGGGATAGCTGGTACTAACAAACAGCAACTATATAGCAAGTCTGCCACACATAAAAAGGGCCCAACCGGGGATCGAACCCGGGATCCCTTGCAAGAAGAATCTAAGTGGCAACTCCCAAAGCAAGTATCTTACCTCTAGACCATTGGGCCATCTTTTCAAATACCTAAGCTACATTGTCTCTGAGACCGGCACTCTTTCAAGGTCCAAACTAAAGTTATCGGCTGAATGAATGGATTCGTGAGTACTCGAAGCAGTGCACATAGGTCTGTAATAATTAGATAGTAAGCTAATTTCGAGTGAAACCTGAATGAAAACAAACACAAATCCTACCATTGCCCAGCATCCCTTAGTAATGGTGTTTCTTCAGTTATATCTGCACGCCCATCAGTTCCTTCCACCCTAATGCTACTCTCAATACCATCTGCCACAACAACCTGCACAGCCTCAGTGACCCCTGCAGAAGAGTCATTGGGCACCTTATCCAATGGGTTGCCGAAGTCATCGATGCGCAGGCGGTGCTGGCGCACCCGCCAGAGGAGACACATGACGAGTAGGGATCCTTGCATCACGCCAGCGACGGCATACGTGAGCCACGCTGTGTGATGCGCAAGCGAATCAGCGCCCAGTCAGACCCACCTAGCAGTGCTTAAACGTACTTGTCCAATTTGTGCCGGGCCTAGCAAGTACGCGGAGGCACGATCAGATGTGTGAACCTTTTGAAGGGAAGACGAAAGCATACCGGACGGCAATACTGATTACCATAAAAATAGCGCCGGGGCTCTGGATGAGCATCATAGGGATGCTGAGTGCACCGACGAGGCGACGGCGATACGTGTAGATAAGCTGCGGTGCGTATTGGATCGCAGCAAGAAGTGCAGAAGCGACACCGAGGAGCGTTGCCCAGAACGAGACCTGAGGCGACCGCCCAGGGAGGTCAGGCGTCTCCGTGGAGAGGAGGAGGAGCGTCACAAAGGTACTAAAGGCACTGAGAGAGGGGTAGACAGACGTTAGTGAGGGCGAGGACTGAGAGAATATGCGGCGGCTTACAAATGTATGAAGACAACCCAGGAGAGCGTGATGGAGAGTCTCCACGTGTCTGTCTTGACGGAAGTCTTGACGTGCTGCGGAGGTCGGTTGTCGTGCAAGTCAACGTCGATCTCGGTGTACTTGAGATGAGGCGGGTAGTAGATCATATAAAGGACAAGACTGGCGTGGAAATTCATCATCAAGAAGGTAGATATGTCTTGAGACGAACTTACATGATAGTAAAGAGAAACCATTGGAGCGATAACTGAAACACACCAGCTATGGATTCGACGCAACTCCCGAAAGTCTAGTTAACAAGGAGCAAGTTGAACGGCGGACGAGACGAACATGAAGAAAGGCGGCTCACAACAACGTTACAACACTTAATGATGCCCCACTGCATCACGATGCTGCACGGTCGGGGAGCAAGGATTAGACGACAGCATGGAGGGAGAGACAGAGGATGCACATGTTGAGCATCGCTGAGGCGTTTGACGTGCACCCAAGCAAGAGGAACCATGGGCTGAAGCCCTCCGAAGAACCTGCTTTGATAATGCGTAGGTGCTGTACAATGTACATGAGCGGCTTGTTTGCAAAAAATGCACGACTGAACACGGACCTGAGGGAGGTAGGAGATGATTAGCCCGACGCAGAGCAGCGCGGTAAGTATATTTGCGGCGTAGTCATGATGCTAGGATAGACGAGATGAGACAACGAATATGGAATCGCGAGTGAGCTCACTAGAGTACACGTATCGAGCATAATTGAAAGTCTGGAAATGCTGGACGAGCGCATGCAGTAGCGACAGGAGACCTTTGGGAGACCTAGTGGGACCTGCGCTCATTGTGCGCTCACATGTTGGGAATCAAGCGCTCATATGTGCATGCCCGTCGGCTATAAGTATATTGAAGCTGAAGTAATATCGAGAACTAACCGGTTGACCACTGACTGCACCAGGCTGCCTAATGTCGCTGGTATGCCCATATGGAACGTACGTACTAACGCACCGGTCCAAGTGAGTGTATATCAAACGCGTCGCATTGGCCTCCGAATTTTGGAATATACATATATGTATGAGCTACCAACAATATTATGTATACGATGTAGCGCCAACTGAGCGATCTAAGGTCTCGTCAACATAGCCCAGCGATCATCATGCTCGACGAATTCACGAACGACCGCTGCGACTTCGTTGTCAGCATCCGGCAGCGTACTTTCCTTCCGCAAAATCTCCATGTAAATCGCCTGGTCAGGCTCTTCCGTGATCTGAAGTCGCCGCTTGGCAACGTGCCAATGTTGAGGGTTCTGTCCGCGTGAGAATACCTCGCACACGTCGTCATCACTAGAAACGGTGTCGGATATGCTTGGCAAACTGGAGAAGAAAAAAATCGCTACGCACGACTGAAACATTTGCTTCGCATGATATAGATGCTCTTGGTTGCCAGGCAATGGACAGCTGGACGAGAGCGTATAGCCATTTACGGCCAGAACATGAGCATTTTGTGGTTGCAATATGGTCGTCGCGGAAGGCATTGGCTTCTCGCTGGCCCTGCGGTACTTCAGTACATGTACTAAGCATGATACTTGAAACACTAACGCTTTGGCCTGTTCAACGGTCAATGCTTCTCGCAGAGATTTAATCATTGTCATAGCTCCTGACGCAAGATCCGATGGTTCAGGACTGTCGTGGTCCGCCAATAGAGCAATCGTCAACTCATCACTCTGAGGATCGTCAACACCCATTTCAGGATCCACATCGAGCGTGCTCACCGTTAGCTGCCAAACGCGGCGTTCATACGTGGCTATGGGGTCAGCAGAGTCGGCCAAGTGAACGGTACTCGGTCGCAAGGTCCGTAAAGGGCATGCTGGGGGTGGTGTTCGCTCTTCATTGGCTACAGAGCTTGACCGTACGATGCTCTCGGGTACTTCTGATGAGCCCGCAGGAACGTCCTGTCGCCTGTCGACCACTTCTGAGCGTGACCCTTCGTCGGATCTAGGACCGTCTTCGGCACTGTCCTCTCCAACCGCTCCTGAAGCTGATGAAGGACTTCGCGATGAATGATGAGGGGATGCGACGGACTGGTTATCCGAAAGCGCTTCCTGCAACGATTCTCGATCTACATCTATGGGTTTACGGCTATCCGGTACGTCCAGGTAACCTTCCTCTGCGCTGCCTTCCCCAGAACCACCGGGGCTCGACTCTGCAGTAGTCGCAGATTCACTTGTTCGAGGCTCTGCCGCGGTCGTGGGCGCATCTGACGACTTGGCTTGTGTCCCTTTCCTAAACGATAAGTAGTCAGGCCAGCCCCACTTCAGTTGACGCGGGTCCATAACACGAGTGACATTTGACATTGCCATGAGACTATTCAGCGCTGCCGACTCGACGGATTTCTGGGTGATCTGAGCGACAGCACCTGGGTCGAGGCCGCGGGAGACAAGATTGGCAGGCACGGGAACAATGTGTTGGACAGCGTTCCGGCTAATAGATGGATCTGGTGGCAGTGTGGGCTGTGTCTCCGCTGGAGGTGGGATGCGCGAGACGACGTGACGGATAAGGGACGCAGGGAATCGGTGTGAGTTGAAGGCTGTCGAAGGGATAATGTGTGGGGGTGCAAGCGCGAAAACATGTATGTTGTCTTGAATATTGTCAGCGAGGTGATCGACGATGGGTATGAGTGAGGGGGCCAGAGGATGTAGCGGGACGCCTAGGCGGATTGTCAGCAATGCACAAGGGGCGCCTAACAAACGAAGTACCAAGGTCAACTGCGAGGTTGGTATGCTGTTCAATATCCCATTTCCACGCCCAGACAGTAAAGAATCTTTCGAGCTGAAGCTCCAAAGCGTGTTGACCCAAGCTGGATAGGATCGAAGTGAAGGAACCGTGCATCAACTAAACAGTGCAGTAGCTACATATGAGCAATTGCGACTCCAAAGAACAGAGGAACGTGCCTTGAAGTCTTCGTAACCACGCATGATATGTGAACGCAATGCTACATCGTGTACAGAAGAGTCGTGACAGTCGAACACCTGCTCTGGCGGAACAGTAGACACGTCATTCTTTGCTTTGCCTTTCTCTTTGCCTTTTCGTTTGAAAGGTTCGGATCGAGGGGTCTTGGCGAGTTCCACGCACTGACGGACATCTGCAGGTTCAGCGACTGTAATGTAACGTAGCCGCACATCGTCGAATGATTCTCGTACTCACTGCATGAATCCAATAGTCCGGCTCGAGCTCCACTGTTGCCATTCGACGTGTTTGCGAATGTACATTCTCACATGCGGTCTCCGAGTTGAACATGCTGTGTGCGAGTCTCACTGATCTGCACGGTACAGCCATTACGCCCGCTGCTCACTCTGAGAAGTTCACTAAGGCTTTCGCGAGCCCAACTTGTCTAAGCATCCTATCGCGGGAGACAGCTCGTTCCCGAGCAGTGTAGAAGAGGATCTGTGCTTGCTCTTCTGCGTCCTCATCGTCCGGAGAGGTCAGGGACGCGGGTCGAAGGCTCGGATTATATATAGTGAGGTAGAGCAAGCCAGACGGGATTCTACTCATACCAGAGCCGACGATGGGAGCCGTCTGGCGAAGACAGAAATATGACACCGAGGAATAGCGGCTCCTTGAGGCGAATCGAGGCTCTCAACAGCGCAAGGTTGCGGCAGTCTACAGATGTGAGGTATGTACTTGTTGACACGGAGTCACCGGCACCCGTCATTACATAAATACTTCGCAATGCAACAACTGATCACGAAGTACTGAATGATCAGGTGATACAGCACTACTGATGGTGATTAAGATAACAGACGGCGTTTACTGCGATTGAAGTGTTAAGTACATACAGTAAGTAGTCGCTTTGTGGCGGTTGTACGCTGCTTCTGTAATCGCCTAGAGCCGCCACGCGTCGTGTTTCAAACGCCCAGCAGAGGCCATTTAGCGGGACTGGCTTCATTTGTTTTCTACTATCATTGACGTACTATGCTTACTCCCCCATCTCCATCTTCCTCTCCTTCTCTGACCCTTAACGACACCGCCAACACTCGCAAGAGGCTGCGCTCCCAATCGATGCAGTCAGAGCCTTCCTCATCTTCACCAAAGCGAGCAGCGTCCGAAGACCCATCTCAGGATAAT